CAAAAATATATACAAATATATACGTATGTGTATATGTGTAATTACATGTTTATTGTCTATCTTTCCCACTGGAATGTGAACTCCACAAGGGCAAAAAGTTTGTTTTATTTAATGCTATACCTCTGGTACCTACGACAGGCTGACACATATTAGGAGTTCAACAAATACTGTTTGAATCAATGAATAAATGATTAGGTAAAGGGCAATTCCCATTACTATTATTCTGGTTTGATAAGTGGCTGCTTCTTCAGAAATTCAGTGGGCATCTCTTCTACTAGGTACCCATTATGCCTAAGAGCTCTGCTCAGTGCTGAGGAAATAAGTGTGGACTAGGACACTCAGGAAGCTCCTAAAGCTGACAGAGATGTGGTAGCTTTAGAAAGGCCTTCTTTACATTAATTTAAACTCTACCACTGTTATTCTCCTCTTACTTAGCCAAATTCTGCTGGGTACTATACCAATAAAAAGACTAAGCCCCTCTTCCTTCAGATATTTGAAACCAATGATCATATTCTCCTGGGTCTTCTCTTCCCCAGGCTAAACAAAAAGACCCAGTGGGATTGTGTGACTTGGGCCTGCCAACTGGGAATGGGGAAGACAGACTGTCGGCTACAGGAACAGAAGAGAAGCAGATCCAGGAGCAGAGTGACTCCTTCAAAGAAAAGAGAGGGAGCCCTTGGGGAGGACTCCGTGGAATTAGGCTGGAGGTTGGGGATGGAGACAGGGCCCTGTTAATTAACGTAGTAGGAGATTATGTTTCTGTAGAAGAGCAGCTCACTGGGAATTACCTCTAAACCTATCCACACTACACCGAGAAAAAAACACGGCTGCCGAAAGAAAGCCCAGGGTGAAAGGCTGAGGGCACTGGGAAAACCAGGGAGGCTGGGCGTAGAAGCAGACACTCAGGCCCATGGGCCTCAGGACAGATACCTGTATGGGAAGAGACGGCAAACAACTGCTGCTTCCCAGAGCCCTAACAAGTCTGGTGACCGCCCACACCGAAGTCAAGAAAACCCTCTGGGTTCCGTTGGGGCCCCCTGAAAAATACCTGGGTAATTTTCTGCCAGAGGCTGAAGGGTCTCATGGGGCTACTGGGGAGATTCGTCGTAGGAAGTCTGGAAAACCCTGTGATGGTGACAGAGGTTTAACAGCAACCTCAAATGTATATCCAGAGCTGGGTTCTTTGAGGGGGAGCCCAAGACACTTGTATCTCACTTTGGAACCTGAATGACATTACTAAAAATTTCCACATTTGGGGTTTCTAATGGGGTTTCCCCGAGAAAACCGCAGAACTGCCAAAGCTGCTGAGACCTGAAAAGGTCGCTAAGGTATTTCAGCTAAACATGTGTCTATGCCAAAGCAGCCAGAACAGGTAAGCAGCAGCCTACAGAAAGTAGAATACCACAGAGCCATGAAGACGGGGAAAGGCCAAATTACGTTTTCTCTCCCGCACCGTCCACTGCTCTCAACAATGGCGTTTCCACCTAGCTATGGGCTTTTCCAGGGACAGCAATCCCAAAATGTCCTGGCCCACCAGGGTCCTCACACCATAACTGTCCACATTCCCACTGGAAAGCTCCAGAAACACTCTTGTCCCTTCAGGAAAGGTCACATCATACACCATTCTGGGTGAATATCTCAGAGGCTGACTTATTTGTTCAGAAACTCTGGGGGCAAAGTTCAGTCTTCTGAGGCAAGTAATCTATTCATTAAAAGGGGTGCTTCCACCCTACAATTAAGGAAGGGCCTTTGTCTAAATCCTTTACTAGAGTCAAGCTATGGCAGGTGGCTATCATTATTCTGTTTTATAGGTGGGAGAGATGGACAGACAAGACACAAACAGGCTCTGCATCTTGCCAGGTGACTCCAGGAAAGCGGTGGTGTGGCTATGAGTCTGGCATTCCAGTCTGTGGAGCACCCTCCACAATGAAGTAGGCATACCTGGAGCAGGTCACCTCCTCCCCACAAACACATCATTCTTATCTATTGGTAGCACCTGAGAGGATTTTAACGAAAAAATCACCAAGAAGCCCACTCTAACTGGGCAAACCCTTGATAGCCACTCGAGTCTTCCCAGTGCCAGAATCTGAGACTCCACACATGCCTCTGGGAACCTGCTACTGCCGACAGAGGCCCTGCTCCTCCTGCAGCTAACTAAACAGTGCCAGGATCACAGACCAGAGTGAGCACCTCCACAGGCGTGTTTTACCTGGCCCAACAGCATCTCTGGCTCTCTATGCTAGTTTGCTGGGGTCATTTTATTGCTCCGTGGAGAACCTGATAAGGATGGGAAGAGTTTAGACTTTGAAGTCAGGTGAACCTACATGTAACTTCTCATTCAGTCACTTAACTGGCTATGGGATACCTGAGACCAGTCACTTAGCCACACAGGTACACTGGGATTAAATCTACCTACCTTGGAAGGTTATTGTGTGGAATATATAAAACAGCATGTCATTTCCATGAGGAAAGATGCCATGTCTGGCTTATGGCTAGCACCTAATGCAGTGGATGTACCTCATAGAAGATGCTCAATAAATTGTGGTTGTATTAGTAGAAGACCTAACTAACACAATGCCTTGAACATAAGATGTGCTCCATGAAAGCTCATTTCCTTTCCTTTTCTGGTAAAGAGGTTACATTTAGAGAATATCCAAGGATAGAATGACCCATAACTTCTACACTCACGGATCCCCCAGCCAGAGCCTCCAGGAGATGCCACTGCAGTAGCCAGTCTGTGTAGCTCACACAATGGTGCCTGAGAGGGAAGTGGGAGGTACTTTCTACCCAAAGGATCCTGAGTCAATGTCTTCTGACCTCAGGGAAAATGCACACCCAGAAATGGTTCTGACATAACTGGCTCATCTGCACGCATCCCTTATGTTCACCAAAGAGGACGTGATATATGGTATGTTGTCCAACAAGCTCTGGCAATTCTTGAGCAAAAAGAGAGAAAATGGAATTTCATTCCAGTGGCTGTCTAATGAACTTGCCCAGTGCTGTGTCTAAAACCTCTTCTCACGTGCAACATTGGGTGACTCGCAATTCTCTGGCCCAGGCAGAGCTCTGGAGAGGCTGGCTGGCAGACGAGGAACCTCTCCCACATTGCCTTGTGTTAATAGCTGGCAACAACTCACCTGTTATTAGGACCACTGGCCAAAGACAACAGTCATGCAAAGTAGGCAAGTGGCCCAAGTCTCTACCTGGAGATGCCTCAGAGGGTGTGTCTGAAGAGCTGGAATCCAGTCCCTCCTATAATCAGCTGAACAAATATTTGCCCCCAAAGAGAATCAAAGCAGGAGGGAATGAGAGGTCATTGAACAAACCAACAGGAACTATTTAATCATTTATCCCCCCAGGGAGTTCATTTACAGAATGGCTTTCAAGTCTGGTCAGCCTTAGCTCTAGAAAGCTTTCTACCTTCACCTCCCCCAATCCCACCCCAGTCATCTGACCTCTGACTTGATCTCTTTACTTAGTACAAGGACTGGCAGTGGGAGGAGTGGATGAAATTGCAAAGAAATGGGAAATAAGACAGGGGGTGGGGTTCCAGGGCAAACTCAGAGGTTTCTGCTCAATGGTAAACTGAAGTGCCTGCCACGCCCTAGTCCCAGCCCAGGGATAATTGCATTCTTGACATTCCTGAGTCCAGGGTGCATGGCCCCTTCCACCTCAGCTCCTTCAATAGATGACTTATTTCCCACAGCCCACTCAATTTTAGGGGTATTCTGAGGGGGCAGACTGCCTCTCATAAGCCCTGCACTTCCCCTAGGCTGGAAGATAGCAAGGAAATAGGACTGGGCTCGCTGTAGAAGAGCAAACACTGTCTACAAAGACCCCTGGTACAGATTCTCTCACCACTATCTCATCCTGACTTGGTGATAGGCAAAAGAATTCTCCCTCCCAGGGAAAGCAATGAGGCATGACTCCTGGGCCCAGAAAGTGTGCCTGGAACCAAGAACGACTACTACCACAAACTTGTTGGAGTTGGTCACTGTGCTCACATTAGCTCCCTTAAATTGACAATGCCCTGAAAGTCAAGGGGGGCTTGCCACAATTTTTTAGTGGAAGAAACTGAGGCTGAAGGTAAAGTGGTCTGTCCAAGGTCACGCAGCTAGGTAAGTCACAGTGGTGGGACCCAAACAGATGTCGGTTTGATTCTGAAGTCAGTCACTGAATCTCGATGTCCCACAGGGCCCCACAGACTCGGTTCTTGCTTTGCCAGCAAACAGTGTTCTCGGGGCCCTGGCAGGAAAGCAACAGGCAGAATAGCTGGAGCTCCCCAACCGATCCTAGGCAGTGAGGTACAAAGTCCAAGCTTAATGCGTGACACAGCAAGAGCTCAGCAAACAGGCCGACCGTGCAGAAAGTTGCACACTTCAGAACAAATGAACTCAGGGGTGCAGCACAAGCACAACTGGCCACTGCCCTAAAATCAGACAACCCTCAGCCATCCAAGCCAGTGGGAACTGCTGCCTGGCCATGCCCTTTTCTGAGAGAATAAACACCAGGTATGCAAACTCTGAAATAAAGAGAATTTGATGTGGAGAAGGGAAGCCAAGGGCAGACATCCCTGGGGGAGTAAGAACGGAGAGGCTTGTGGGTCACCGATACTCACTATCTTCTCCAGGCATTATACTCATCATCCCTTTGAGCGGCGAGCCATTGTGTCAGGGTGAGGGGACACTGGACTAACTTCCCACTCTCAAGTGAACAAACAGGCTACGCTTTCCTCCACTGAGAAACAAGAACACAAGTATGAAAGAGTGGGGTCATGAGGGTGACCAGAATGGAAGATGCCTGTTCCTTTGAGAACTAACTGGGTCATCTATAGTCCAGAACAGTTAACCTCTTGTGGTGCAATAAGGCCAGTCACGCCTCCTTAACAAACATGTGTGGCAATCACCCAGCACAACAGAAAGAGATACAGAGAAAGGCTGGTGAGGATCTCTCTGACCAGAGGCCAAGGAAAAGGGACACACAAGGGGTGCAATCCTTACCCAGCCGCCGTTCTCCTGGATCCAAGGCTCTAGGTGGTCATTCAGGTAAGTGGCCATCCAAGTTGCGATCCGACTCACCAATACCTGCATCTCCTTGTCTACGCTTTCCACACACAGCGCCCCACCGAAGGAGAAAAAGGCCACAATGCGACCCCAGTTCACCCCATCCCGGAAGAGTTCATTCACTACCTGCTCAAAGCTCTGATATGCTGTCCCTGGGGTGATGTGGAGCTGGGATGTCAGGTCACTGAATGCCCGCCGGTACCTCAGTTCAAACTCATCGCCTGCCTCCCTCAGCGCCTGCTTCACCGCTGCCATGGGAATCACCTCCCGGGCATCCAAGCTACTGCTGTGGCCAGTGGCTCCATTCACCGCCGGGCTGTCCGCCAGGTGCCAGGATGGGTTGCCATTGATGGCACTGGGTGTCTCCATCTCTGATTCAGTTCCTTCTGGGGCCTCAGTTCTGTTCTCTTCCACATCACTAAACTGACTCCAGCTGTATCCTTTCTGGGAAAGCTTGTAGGAGAGAAAGTCAACCACCAGCTCCCGGTTGCTCTGAGACATTTTTATAATAGGGATGGGCTCCACCAGTCCATTGTCCAAAACACCTGCTCACTCACTGAGTCTGGTCTCTACTTAGTGGTTGTCTTCTGAGATCCAAAGCCAAGATAAGGTTCTGAAGGGAGAGAAAGAGCTTCAGGAAAAGAAGAAATGAATACACGGCTATTTCACCTACAACATCACATTCCACCTCCAGATAACCACAGATGGTTTCTTTGTGGGTCTAGCTTCCCACAGACTTCAATGAAGTCCAATTGAAAGCACCAGTGGTCTCTGAATCATCACACCGGCATCTTTTTTTATCCCAGCCACCCCCTTTTCTCCCAAGCTGTCTGCCCCCCATCCCCACCACCCGCTTCACCTACATTCAAATCCGTTTCAGAAGTCAGGCAGGTGCAGCCCCCCGGAAGATCTTTTGTATCATAGGTCGGGAGAGGAGGTGGCAGCCGGGATGCCGGTAATTCAGCTGGCCCGGAGGTGGCTGGCAAAACAACCCAGCTCCGGCTGGAGGGATCATGCGACCCAGCCGGCTGGGACCCCGGAGGGCGACACAGGAATTACGAAGCTCAGAAACCCGCCACCTCGCTTGCTTCCTCCTCCATCGCCCAGAATGAGGGCGGCCTCCTGCCACCCGGGAGCCCAGCCCCCTCGCTCTCACACGCTCCTGGCTCTCCGCCTCCTACTGGGAGCCAGGAGAATTCTCCGAGGTGGCTTGTGTGGGCTTTAGGGTTTTTTTTGTTGTTATTGCTGCTGCTGTTCTATTTAAGTACCGGCCCAGGGTGAGGCTTCCGAAACCCTGAAGGGACTTCTCAATGGGGCTCAAGGTTTCCATGAGGGACAGAGAGAAGGGGAAACTGCCTCAGACATGAGGTCTGACTTCGGAAAGACCATCCCCGGGCCTTTCCGGGAGGCTGAAGACCGGGGACCCCCCAGAAACGCCGCTGGTATTCTTTGAATTCCCCAAAGGCCCTGGACGCGGCGTTGGCGGTAGGGGATTGCCGGGTCCTCCATTTCCCGAACGGACATAATGGCCGCCGGCGCCCTGCACAAAGACCGGGTGAGGGTGAGGCGCCCGGCCTCTCCTCGGGTCGGGGAGAAGGGTTGAGGCCTGCTCGAGGACCCCCGCAGCTGAGACCACGTTTTCCTGGAGCCAGGCCCGATGCGGCTTCCTGGCGCCCCCGGGAGGGCTTGGGGGCCAGGGGAGGCACCTCTCCGGAGCCCGGGGCGGGTGGGCTGTGGCCTCGCGCCTTCTCGCGCGCGCTGGGCCGGGTACCCGCTGGGCCACCGCCCCGTTGCTAGGCAACTGCTCTCCCTCAGGGGCGCCCCTAGACCTTTCTGGTCTCGCCCCCAGCGGCCCGACCGGCGTAACCAATCAGAGTACTTAGTCGGCACAGAAGCGGGACGGCGAGGGCTCCCATTGGGCGCAGCGCCTGCCACGCATCGGGGAGGCGGTGCTCTCACCTGCGAGCCCCGCAAGCCGTGGGGGACCACATTCCCCCCTTCCTCCGCCAGGTCGTTTCCAGACGCCAGAGCTCTTCGCGGCCGAGTTCCGCGCCGCTGACCCGGGCTGGCCTACCTGGCTGACGGCTCGCTCTGTCTCTTCCGAACGAGCCGGCCTCAGTTTCCCCTGAAGAGATCTGGAGAACTTGCAAGCTCAGTCACTTCCGGTGCCGCGGCAGCGCGCGCGAGCCCGAGACGCAAAAGGAGTGCACGACTGGCGTCAAGACCTGGAAGCGAGCGCCCCCTTGCGGTACATCTGGGGAATCCGGAGACACACAAAAAATCAATATTTGCGTTCACATTTCAATTCATTCATTCATTCAGTCAGTTTCATCCATCTGTTAGTTTATATATGGAAAAAGCATTTCATTGTGGCTAAGAATATTGAGCTTTGGATTCCAACTCCAGTTGGTCAAGTTCATCAACAGCTCTGTGCCTTAATTTCCTTCACTGTAAAATGGGTAAAAATCAAACTCCATCATTGAGTTACTGTGAGGATTAAAAAAATTATTGTTTGTGAAGTCCATAAAACATTGTATGGTCCATAGAATAGGCTGCATAAATCCATCCATCAAATGTTTATTGTTTGGGTGGCTGAAGATAGAATTGGGAACAAGAAAAAACATGGTCCCTGCTTTCATGGGCACATTTTCAATCCTTTAGATGGAGAGAGACAGTAAACAACTAAGAAAATATACAAACAAGGTATTTCAAATACTGACTAGTGCTATGAAAAAAATAAATCGTGATTTGTCAAAAAGGGTGAAGGGAGAGATGCTACTTTTGACTGGGTGGTCAGGGATGTAAGCTTTGCCCAGGAAGGGAAAGAGACATTTATTCAATCAACAATTGTTTGTGTAGAGCGGCTGGGTGTGTCCTCTTTGAGGAGATGACACAGAACCCAACAGTGGAGGTACAAGAAAATGCCAACCCATGGGAAAAGCCTAACGAATGTCAACCTCGGCATAGGCAGCAGCTGCGCAGTGTTCAGAGGCAGGAAGATTTTGGCATGTTCCAGAGGCTGAAGGAGAAGCAGTGTGACTGGAAGGGGGTAAGAAAGAGCAAATGTGGTGTGAGAGGAGGTTGGAAAGTTGATCATGGGACTAAGTTGCATTTGATTCTAAACATTGAAAGATGTAATTTAATTGATTAAAAATTAAGTATGCAGAAAAACAATGTTAAAAATATACCAAAACCCTGGTTGGGTGGCTCAATTGGTTGGAGTGTCCTCCCATACACCAAAAGGTGGTGGTTTCCTGTCCAGGTCAAGGCACATACTAGGTTGCAGTTTCCATCCTGGACAGGGTGCTTATGGGAGGCAACTGATGGATGTTTCTCTCTCACATTGATGTTTCTCTCTCTCCCTTCCTCTCTAAAATCAGTGAAAACATATCCTCTGGTGAGGATTAATATTTATATATACACATGAGGGGGGAACCCCCAAAACCAGAATTTATTTTTTAATTGTATATTTGTTCTTACATGTTTAAACTTCAGTCACCTTCAAAGTACTCTCCATTTGATGCAACACACCTATCAAGACGTTTTTTCCAGTGCTCAAAACAGTTTTTGAACGTGTCAATTTTGATGCCTTTTTTTTTTAGTGATTTAATACAGTTTTATTTTTCAAAATGTGCAGCTGGTGGGACCTGTTGTTCATGCATCTTCACCAACAGCTAGGGCATCCCCACCTTTTGTGTTTCTTGTGTAAATTACTTGAGCTCTGTGCTTTGAAACTAGTTTAATAAACCCTTCACTAAAGAGCCCCTGAAGGGCTGCCCTGGCCAAGGAACTGCAGACCTTCAGTTGCTTAGAGACAATAGCTGGGGTTAGGAGCTTGTAGTTGGGAACTTCCTTACAGAGTTTGTCATGTGTCGCTTTGTCAAACAAGACTAGGTTATTGAGCTTGTCCCAAGCTTTGCCTTTGGACCACTTCTTTTGGGCCTTCATCCCAGATTTGTTCACTGGGTCTTTGTCTTTCTTGGCTGACTTTCCAGCATCTTTCTCATCATCCTTGGGTGGCACAGTGAAACTCAAGGAGCACCAGCAATCACTCCAATTTTGATGTCTTTTAGTGCTTCTGCTGTTTTTTGTCTCACCTCTTCCACATTGGCAAATGTTTCCCTTTGAGAACTTTTATTTTTTTAATCTGAGGAAATAAAAAGAAGTTACTTGGAGTGAGATTGGGTGAATAGGGAGGGTCGAGCACGGGGGTCATGCTGTTTCTGGTCAAAAACTGCTGAATACTCAGTGCTGTGTGGGCAGGTGCACTTGCTCATAAATTGCGCATTACGAAAGGGGCGGATGTGTTGAAAGAGTCTACAAAACAAATTCACTGAAGTAGAATGCAGCCTCTCACAACAACACCAGCTAGTACACTGATACAGATGGGTTCCTAGAGCACTCGTGTAGCAGAAGCCTGTAATACAAGGGGCCCTCCAAAAGAAAATTCTGAGTTTTTTTAGGGGTCCCATATATATACATATACAGGGTCCAACAGAAGTAATGCCTACTTGAGTGTGGCAACGATATAAGTGTAATAATTTATTGTTTTAATTCAAACATTTCACCTGAAATGTCATATGGTGTGCCTGAGTGTGATATTGTGTTATAGAATTACATGCTTATGATTTTGTAATAAAAAAGGGACGTTATTTGTGCCAGACCTCATGTATATATAAAACAGAATTAAAAAGTGAGTCCTCTTCTCACTCTGCTTCCCAGGCCCCAGTTCCCCACACAGAGGTCATCATTCTTAACCCCTTTCCTCTATAGCTGGGGTGTCAAACTCATTTTCACTGAGGGCCTCATCAGCCATGTGGTTACTTTCAAAGGGCCGAATGTAATTTTAGGACTGTGTAAATGTAACTACTCCTTAACTAGGGGCAAGGAGCTTGGAGCTGCCACTGGGTAGAAGCAAGGTGCAGGGCTGGATAAAACAAGGTGGGGGGCCGGATTCGGGCCACGGGCCTTGTGTTTGCCACCTGTGCTCTATAGCCTTTCAGAGACGGTTGCTGTATTCACAAACAAACATATGTATAAATGTTTTACCCCAATATGCTTTTTTTGCTGAGTTCTACATTTTGGATCTCCCTCAATTTTTTAAATTAACAACTTTTTAAAAGGTGTGTCATAATTTACTTGCCCAATCTCCTACTTTGGAACACGTAGGTAGTTTCCAAATAATGCTATAACTTGTCCATTTGTTACTTTGCATATGTGGGAGTTCACCTGCTGAGTAAATTCCGGCAAATGGAGTCATCAGTAAATGAGCGTGTGGATTTGTTTTCCATTTGTTTTAACGGGTCCTGGCACGGCGCTCTCCGCAGCGGCTGTACCAGTTCGCTCTCCCGCCAACGGGTGCTGATTTCCTCACATCCTGAGCTGCACGGTGTGTTGTCAAATCTTTTTACACTTGACAATCAGATAGATAAAAACCAAGAGACATTTTTATTTTCCACTTCTTTTTAGTAAGACTGAAGTTGAGCAATTTTTCATATTTATGAGTCTGGGGGGGGGCGCTTGTTTAGGTAAATTCTCCGTTTAATTCATTTGCCCTGTTTTTTTTTAAGTTGGTCTTTCTGCTGATTTTTTCCCTTATTGATTTAAAGGGATTTTTATCCTTTTTACATATAAGTTGTAAATATTTTTCCAGTTTATGAAGACATTTTTATTTTGTATGGATTTTCATTTATCGGTCTTTTCCTTTGTGGCTTCCAGGTTCTATGTCATTCTTAGGAACACCTTTTTCTGATCAGTATTATAAAAATAATTCTTTGTTTTCTTCTAGTTTTTAGTATATTGTTTCATATTTTATATTTAAATTCTTGTCCTACCATAAGTTCACTTTGGTGTATGGTGCAGGCACCCAAAATTGTTTGCTAAGTAACTACCCCATTATCCCAATATTGCCATGTTTCCCCAACTCATTTGCAATGTCTCTGTTATTGTAATCTACATTCCCAATTTCAGAACTTTTCATTAGTTCCATAGAAGGGTTTTAAACTGGAGTAGGGCATGATCTTGCTTTTATTTTTAAAATCTGTGGCGTCACAATGATCTCAATGTAAAAATTAACATTACGGATGTCTATGACGTGCTTTGGGAGCCCAGCAGAGGGCAGATGGACCCTGCCCAGAGACACGGAATCCACTGAACTGGCCCTTAAAAGGAGAGAGAGGAGGTAAGGGGCATTTGAAGCAGAAAGCACTGCCTGAGAAAAGGCATAGAGGTCTGATGTAAGAGCGCATGGTACGTTCTAGGAATGAATTGAGATGACTAAGAGGGTCATGGTGGTAGGGGAGACTAAATGGAAACGTGTATCTAAGAGTGCAAGACACTAAACAGGCACCAGAGAAGCCAGTCAGGCTGTTGAAATGGAAAAGTCACAGGGAGATATTTATTTTGGAAAGGTGGATACAGTCTTTTGGGAAAGGAACTTTGCAGTATTAGTCGAGAGCCTTGCAGACAACTCTGGAAAGGTCATTAACAAATGATCTTTCATTGGAATCTAATTTATTTTATTTTACTATTTTTTAACCAAATAATAAATATTTACTGAGGGTCTACTATGCATCAGGCATAACACTGAAAGTGATTGGAATCTAATTCAAAGAAGTGAAATGTAGCCAAAGATTTACCTTTGACAGAGGTGTTTATGCTAGGTTATTTATTGGGTTGGCCAAAAAGTCCAAATATTTTTCTGTATGATAAAAGACATATTTTTCATTTTCACTAATAACTTTATTGATTTGGATATTTTGAGTATGTTGGCTATGTCCTGCGTGCTGTAACATTGAATCAATTGTTCTCAATAAATGTCTCGATTTGATTGCTGTCAATTTCAACTGGTCTGCCCGACCATGGAGCACTGTCCAGAGAGAAATCTCCAGCATGAAACTTCACAAACCACTTTTGACATGTTCGATCAGTCACAGCACCTTCTTCATTCACTGCATAAATCTTTTTTTGTATTTCAGTTGCATTTTTATCTTTCTTGAAATAATAAAACACGATACACTGAAAATGTTGCATATTTTCTTCCATCTTCAATATTAAAATGACTTCATAAAAATTCATCAATTTTAATATTTTTTAAATGCACATGGATATGACAGCTGTCACAATACAATGTCACAAAATTGTCTCAAAAGAAGTTAAAGACAACTAAGGGCTACTAGAGCCAACGTATAGAAAAAAACAAACAAACTTTTTGGCCAACCCAAATAGCACAGGAAAGAAATTAAAACTGAGAAGTTCAGAATGATGGTTTATATGGGTTAAATTCACACATTACAATTGTAATCGAGGAATATTTAGTGGTGTGGAAAAATGCTCAAAATGTAACATTTTGTAAAAAAAAAGACTATAAAACTATACTGAGAATTATTTTAATTTTTAAAAAATGTACATTACATGCAAAATATAGAAGGAATTATACCAGAATGCTTAAAGGTGGTTATTACTGGGTAATAAAATTATGGATGGGGATTTATTTTTTGTAATACTGTTCTGTATTATCTAAACATGTCTGTATTTTTCAAACTGGAAAACACTATTTAAAAACTTCTTCACTGAAATTTAGATGACAAGAAAATGGTAGTGTTAAGTGAAAATAAAAGTATACAAAATTAGATGTGTGACATGATCTCAACTTTAAATAATACCACTCACAGGAAAAAGCTGGGGAGTCAATATGATAAAGACAAAAGAGAAATAGAGAACCCCCTGGGGGCACAGATGCTGAAGAGAAACTGGACCAGAATGGTCAATAAACCTGAAAAGATGCTCTACTTCACTCATTGTCAAGGAAAATGCAAACAGAAGCCTCAGTGAGATACCATTTCATACCCACTAGATTGGCAAAAAGTGAGACAATCTAAACAAATCAAGTGTGATTCAGAATGTGGAATAACTTTGGAAAAAAAACTGTACTGTTACCCAGTAGAGTTGAAGAGAACCATGACGAATGACCCAGCAGTTCCATTCTTTGATATATGTCCTAAAATAACTCTTGCACATGCACGAGACACAGATATAAGAATGTAGCCTCACTACTTGTAATAACAGAAATTGGGAAACTACCTAAGTGTCCATTACAGCTAAATGGTTAAACAAATAGTAGTATATTTATGCATAGTAATATGAGATAGTGAGAATCTAAGTGACTTTAGCTACATGGAGCATGACAAAATCTCTCACACACATTGCTTGAAAAAACTGCAAAAAATAATGCAGTGTAATTCCATTTATATATTGTTCGTTTCTTAATCAACATACTGTTGCGGGTTCGGGGTAGCCAGCCTTCTCCAGATGGCCCACCCCCAAAGATCCCTGCCTCCAGTCATTCACACCCTTGTGTAGTTTCCTCCCCCATGGCACCAAAGCTGTTCCGTGTGACTGATAGCAAATGGCAGAGGTGGTGGTATGTCACTTCCAAGGCTGGGTCACTCCCTAAGCATGAGCAGCCCTCTGGAGAGGCCCACGTGTGGTGAAGACAGGAAGCTTCCTACTAGCAGTCCGTGTGACGGTTCTGCCCCAAACAGGCTTCAGATGACAACAGGTGACAGTTTGACTACAACTTTATTTGAGACCCTGAAACAGAACCACTCCAGTAAGCTGGGTTCCTGACCCTCAGAAACCATGTGAGATAATAAGCGTTTGTCATTTAAGCTGCTAAGTTTAGGGGACATTGATTCTGCAGCAATGGAACACTAATACAGGGATGTATGCATATGTGGGAAATTATGTATGTATGTGTGTTTGTACATTCTTATCTTACTTCAAAAGTAACGCTTTTTTAATTTGTAATATTTGGAAAATATTGGAAATAATAAAGAAGAAAGAAAAAATAACTATAACCTAGACTTTAGAGGCAATGTCTTCACTATTAGCATTTTAATTTATTTTTTCCTTTTTAAAATTGATTTTGTTAGATATTGAGTAGTGTGTATATATATAAATACATACACATATATGTAAAATTATGAAAAGTATTAAGAATAATGAGGCAATAAACCCTGTGTACATATATACAATTTAATTTAATAAGAACATTTCCATGACCTTCCAACCTCCCCATTGTATCCTGTTCCTGGTTTATTTTGTACCCTCCTCTATCATGTGCAATGACTAGCTTGAACTTCACGTTTATGATTTCTTGACATTTCTGTATAATTTCCCTTTGACGGCTGTCACCAGCGGCTCCCACCAGCAAACTTCCCCAGGAGTGTCCTTGGCTGGTCACAGCGACCTCACGTGGAGGTAGCTGACAGTTACCTCGCTGCCCAGAGCCAATGACCCACTGGTTGCGTCTCTTCTCCGAGAAGTAGGAGCCTCGGCGGAGCAGAGTCCAGATTTCTGGCCTGGTTAGATGGTAGGAGTGACAGGCACGGAGCGAAGGAGCGGATTTGGTAGGGGCAGGAGCAGAAGTTGATTCTTTCTTTCTCTCTCACCGTTTAAAAATAGAGTCTGAAGAACCCGGATGATTTTCTACCCCACTGGCTCCTCCTCCTCTGTCCTTTGTAGATGTTTCTTTCCTACCAGGCTTTCAGTGTTAAAAAATAAATAAATAAATTCAAATACATAGCAACATTCTTTTTTTAAAAAAATTAAAAGATAAAACTCCTATCACCTATCCTTTTTGTCCATAAGTCCAGTTTAGTTCCCTCTGAAGTTCCCACCGTTGTCATTTTGTTGCGCATTCTTCCACACCTTCCCTCTCCGCACACATCCATGTCAGGAGATGCAGAATGCGCAATGGTTAGGGGTGTGGTCTCTGGAGATGGTTTTCTTGGGTTCAAATCCTGACTGTGTCACATGCAAATTGTGTGACCATGAAGTTGTCTAACCTTTCTGGGCCTCAGTTTCCTCAATCTATAAAATGGGAATGGTAACATTACCTACCTCCTAGGGTTATTGTTAAGATGAAGGGAATTAGTACGTATTTAAACTGTCTGGTATAGGACAAGTGCTCTGTGTTATTACTTATATATACACATGGGAAAAGTGGAGCATTGTTTTGCAAATTAAAAAAATTATGGTTTCATAATGCATTTATATCAGCGATTTTCCACCAGTGTGCTGCAAGAATCTTTAAAACATGTAATACCTATTTAGTCAGGTGCACTGACCTCTTTTTCCTTAGATTGTCAAATTAAAAAAAAAAATGACAACAACCAATGCAACAACAGCAGTCCAGTGTGATTGAATCAAAATTGTACCTATTTTTTTTTGCCAGATTGGCCAAAAATGTACTTTTTGGTGAGCCACAGAATTTTAGTAATCAGTTTCCGTGTGCCATGAGATGAACAAGTTTGAAAATCGCTGATTTATATCAATCAGTGCTTTGTTTTTTAACTCAGAATGTGTCTCAAAGATACCTCTTTGTTAGCCCGGATCTATGGAATTCTTTGAACAGATGCTTAGCTTAGCATTCCATTCTATGGGCAGGGTTTTTTTTTTTTTTAAAGATTTTATTTATTTACTTTTAGAGAGAGGAGAAAAGAGAAAGAGAAACATTAATGTATGAGATCAGTTGTCTCTCACGCATTGCTTCTCATACCCCGCAACTGGGGACCTGGCCCACAACCCAGACACGTACCCTGATTGGAAATCAAACCAGCAACCTTTCAGTTCACAGGCAGACACTCAATTCCCTGAGCCACATCTACCAAAGCTATAGGTAGGTTATTGAGATAAGCCCCCGTATATGGACATTTAGGTGGTTTCCAATTTTTCACAACTACAGTGCAACAGCCTACGAAGTGATTTCCCTATTTCCAGTCTTGTTCCCCTTCCCTCTGTTTTCAGCATAGCAGCCAGTTATTTCATTAAAAGCAGAGAATAAATCAAGGCTCAAAACCCTCCCAGGACTTCCACCTCATTCTGAGTAAAAAATCAAAGTCCTTATAATGGCCTAGTTGGTCTGCATCCTGCCCCAGAATATCTCTGCCTGCAACTCCTGATGTTCTCCTCTTTGTCCATTTGACCCAGTCACCCTGTTTCCTAGCTATTTCTAAAACATTCGTGCTATGCTCCTGCCTTTGCACTTGGCTGTTCCCTGTGCCTGGAACATCTTCCTTCAGTTATCTGCATGACTCACTCCTTCACTTTCTTCAGGTCTCTGCCCAACTGTCCCTGGCCCGCCCTGTTGAAAATTGCAAAACTCATTTACAGAGATAAAGCCCAAACAGTGATAGCTGAAATTGTGGATAGGATGGACCAGATGCGTCTGTGCTCCCTTCCAGCTCTAAAAGTCTGCGTTGGTGATTTCAGACCTCGCTGTCTCTCATCCACAAAGAATGGGAACTTGAGACAGCCTAGAAGGTAATCAATGCAGAAGGAATGAAAAGAGAGGAATCCCCTGGACCAGGCTTACTTACCTCTTGTTGATTCTGGAAGGACTTGGAAGTTCTTGCACACACCCTGTGGCCTCCTGGCACTGCCCCATTTACTCACCCACTGACTCACTGGGCACCCTCTGCCTAGTAGGCCCTGGAGACAGCACAGGTCTGGTGCCCCCTCCCTCCGAATATAAAGCAAGCTCTCTCTGCCTCCACCCTCATCCCAGGCCTGGCTTCTCCCTGGCCCCGCACGTACGTGGACCTTGAATGATGTGCCTGCTGAAAGTGCGCAGTCACAGCCCAGGCAGACTCTGCCCTCCCTTTCTGTCTAGTCCCTCCTTCCTTCTCTTATTGTCATCCACACTTCAGGGCCTGGGAGTGAATGATTTTGCATTTATCACCTCCTAAGACACAACACCATTTATTTGTTTGTTTACCTTATTTAATGTTTGTCTTCACTTAGAATGTCAGCTACCTCAAGACAGAGATTTTGTCTGTCTTTTTACTGCTGAATGCCCACACTTAGCACAGTGACTGACACAGAGTAGGTCCTCAATAATTGCAGTCACTGTGTCTGTGAGAAAATGGGTGAGTATGTCTCTTGGAACTTAACTTAGAAATAGAAATCCTAGGTTGCAAGGCATATGTGTTTGTTGTTTTAGTAGATGTTACCAAGTTGCCCTCTAAAGCAGTGGAACCCATCCATTCTCCCACCTGCTGAGTTCCCTTGCAAATCCTTGATACTTTCCAACTTTTAATTTTGGTCAATCTGATGGGTGAAAAATGGTACTTTTTTGTTTAAATTTCCCATACTACTGGTAAGCCCAAGCAACTTTTTATGACTTTAAGGGCCAGTTTTGTTTCTTCTTCTAAGAATTGGCTATTTTCCCCATTTTTTCCCTATTGAATTTTTTTTTTGGTCCTTTCCTCAGGAGAGTCATAGGAGACATTTTTTCACATTCGGGGTTCTAATCCTTTGTTACACACATTGGAAGTATTTTACCTCTCAGTCTTGTTTTTCTTTTGTCAAACAGAATTTTAAAATTTTGGTTTGGTTGGTCTTTTCTTTTGTCTTAATTTTTTTCTTATATCTTACTTAAAAATTTCCTACCCCAACGTCATCAACATATTCTTTTAAGATTTAAAATTTTTAATTTTTAAATATACCTAGGGTTTTAATTCCTTTAAAATTCATTTTTGTAACTGGTACAGGATAAAAATCTAATGTAATGTTTTCTTTCCCCAATGAAAAGCAAATGTCCCAACTCCATTATGTATCTGATTTGAAATTCTAATCAGATAAATCTAATTCCAAATTATAATTAGAATAATTCTATAATCTAATTCTAAATTCTGATACACATGGGTCTGTTTATGGACTTATAACTTTTCTACCGGTTAAAAAAATTTCTATGGTAATACCCTACTTAAAAAATACTGTTGTGTAAAATTTCAAACACATATCTGTACATGAGTATGGATATGCATATATGTGTCATGAACCTATCGCTCAGCTTCAACAATTACCAATTTTTGGCTAAACTTGTTTCATTTATACTCCCACCTCCTTTCCTCCCCAACATACTCCCAATTATTTTGAAGCAAATTCTAGAGTCATTTCATCCCTTCCATTTCTGTGTGTATCTCTAAAAATAAGTACTAAAAAACAAATAAACCAAACTAAATTGAAACAAACAAACAAGAAACCCTTGCAGTTTATTTTTTTAAAAAAAACTAGATCTTGAGTCCTGTAGAGTTTTCTCATCTGGATTTTGCTGATCGTGTCCCTATGGAGTCAATTAACCATATTTTAAAAATTACTATAATTTCACAATATGTTAATGTTTATGAGATCTGGTATGGCAATTGCCCCCTCTTATTTTTCAAAATTCAGATGCCACTTCTTGTGCTTTTCTTCTTCCATTTACATTTTGTAATGAACCTGGCAAGTTTCATAACAAAACCTATTGGTATTTTCATTGGAATTGCCTTGAGCTTTTATTAGGGAGAATTAACATCTTTACAATATTGGATTTTCCCATCCGTTAATAATGTATATCCATCTTATTTAATTAGAGTTATCCAACACAGCTTTACAGTTTTTAATTTTCCCATAAAGGTCTTAGGTTTATTTTTTATTTATTTAAAAGATTTTATTTATTTTTAGCGAGAGGGGAAGGGAGTGAGGGAGAGAAACGTCGGTTGTCTCTCGTGGCCCCCAACTGGGGACCTGGATGAAACCCAGGTATATGCCCTGATCTGGAATCCAACCAGTGACCTTTTAGTTCACGCGCCTGGCTCAGTCCACTGAGCCACACCAGACAGGGCAATTTTAAAAAACTTGGTAGCTTGTGTTGTTATTATGGACGGTAATCTTTTTGTTCTCGTCGTTATTTTCTAATTGATTATTGATGATGTACAGACCCATTCTTAATTCAAATCCCAGCTCCTCTGTTTATCACGTGATTTTAGACAAGTTTACTCAACTTCTCTGAGTCTTTGTTGTCTCTTCCATAATATGAGAATAAAAACACTAGCGATGTAGTTGGAATTAAAACGGAAGGACGATGGACCCAATTAACCGCCGTTTTAAAGCAGTAATGTCAGGGCGTGGACTGGATAGAGAATTTGAGGGACTCCTTCATTGGCAGAGAAGCTGAGGGTGATCTATCTCGCACGCAGGGGATTCCAAATTAAAACGAAGTGAATTCCTATGATTATTCAGGCACAATGCACAACTATAAGGAGAATATTAAATTGTTCTTTATTTCCGCGAAAGTTCTGGGGAGGTCTAGGATCGACGCAGTTCTGCTACCAACACCGACACCCATCTCTTCAGTCGGTACCACCTTTCCCGAATAGTTTGGAGCCGAGCATTCTGGGCTTTGTAGTAAATTCCTAATTAGAGAGGTTCCAATGGGCTCACGCAGTCGCTTGAGACTACGTTTCCCAGAGGTCTTCGGGGCAGGTTGTTTGCTCGTTCGCCATCTTGACTTCCGGCGTTTTGCGATCTCTAGGGCCAATCGGAAGGCTGAGATCACCGGGTCCTGGCAGTCTGATTGGTGCATTCGACTGGAGAGCCTGGGTTCAAATTTTCAACGGCGCTCCATGAATCCCGCGGCGTTTTTTGCGGGTGCTTTGCCGTTGCAGCTGAGTCCAGGTGAGCCAAGCGGGGAAAAGGGGAGCAGCTGGAGCGCAGGAGTGCCTTTTCCTGATTTTCGAGCGGCTGGAGGTTGCCTCCAAATTTCCAGTCGGTCCGCGTCTCCAGGCCCGGGTTTCTGAAGCTTTTGTTGGGCGCTGTCCTGGCCCGGGCGGAGTGGGAGCCGGGCTTCCAGAACAAGGAAGCCTTGTCTTCGTTA